ATCATTCTTCCTCCAATCCTGATACCACGTTTTTCTTCATATAGTCCAGCTTCTCGGATTATTTGCTCAGCATATAGATTGAATAAGTGTGGAGACAGGATACAACCCTGACGCACTCCCTTCTTGTTTTTAAACCATGTAGTTTATGTTAGTGTTGTTTAAGTTCTCCTGAAGAGGACATTATGTCGTTTTTTTCAGTATTAAATACATAATATATGCACATGTGGTAAAAAATGTAAAATCTGTGCGAAACGTGTCGTGTGCAGTGACTCTTCAGTCAGCCATCTCTTGTTCCAAGAGGCAGCCCTTGTGCTGGTCACTTCTGTCCTTTCCAGAGGTCGTCTCCTCTGAGATCATGCACACACACGTGCATCTGTGTAAGCACATGCTCGTGCAAACATGCCTGCAGAGGTATCTTCCTTTGAAGGTTGGATTTTAATACGATGTCTTGAAATTGTGAAAAGTATTGAGAAAACACTTGGGAAGATGTGAAAGGAATGTATAATTTAAGTAAAATAAGGATCTACCTGTCAAAAACCCAACTGCAACATGTTCTGAGGCCCTTTGCTCTTTTAGGGCTTTGGGGCTTCCCAGCTATGTCCCAGTCCCTCGGCCTGCCGTGGGACACACACCCAGATGGCTGGCTTTAAACAGTAGATAGTGTTTTCCTCGCTGTCCTGGAGGCTACAAGTCCACATCGGGCTCTGTCATGTCAAGTCCTCCCTTGTCCCGGCATTCTTGGTTCTTGGGGATCCTCACATGGTGCCTGTCTCCCCTGTTTGTGTCTGCACATGTCTCTGTGTCTCTGTCCCTAACTCAGAAGTGATTGGTTTAGACCTCCACGTGTGACCTCAGCTGGTTGGTTGCAGCAGATTGCATTATAGGAATGATTACACTGGGTTCGCTTTGTCCACGTCCCCAGGTGTGGGGCCTGGATTCCAGCACACACTTTGGGAGGACACAGCTCAAACTGCCTCCCTGCACCGCACCCCTCCCTGGGACAGCTCCTGCTGCTTCCCCGTGAATCGTGGGCCGACTCTTCACAGGAAGCTGCCCGTGGAGTCTCTGAGAGAAGTCAAAATGGAGACTTCAGACTTGTTAGAAATAGAAGTTTGTGTAACAGAGTTAGGAGCCCTGGTGGCACAGTGGTTAGGCATTTGGCTATTAACCAGAGGTTGGCAGTTTGAGCCCAGCAGCTGCTCCATGGGCAAAGGAGGCAGTCTGCTTCCATAAAGATTTACAGGCGTGGAAACACTATGGGACAGTTTTACTCTGTCCTATAGGGTTGCTATGAGTCCAGCTCAATGGCGGGGAACATACCAGAGTTGTTTCCGTGGTGGCTGGTGCTTGAAGCTTCTGAGCCTGGAGTCATCACATGCCAGGAGGGAGAGGCAGCTCGGTACACAGAAGACAGTGGCTTACAACTGCCACCGTCAGGCATTTGCATCACCTGCTGGCTTGCCTGGTAATTCCTTCCTGCTCTTTCTTACCCATCAAAAGGGATTTCCTTCTGCGGGGAGTATGGGAACTGATACGTCTCTGGGTTTAGGTGATGAGCACCGTGATAGGGCCTGTCTGCCTGCCTTTTTCCTCCAAACTAGACTGGTGATCAAGCCATGAAGTCAGGTTCTTAGTGAATGGTTCTTTCGGATGAATAGTGTGTGTAGTCTCGGGGGGTGCTGGAGGTAGCAGGCTGCTGGAGCCTGGCGCCCTAGCCTCCAGTTGCCACATGCCTTGCTCCAGCTCCTTCCTCACAGAGCCAGCCTCTGCTCGTCTGTGGCATCCGGGAAGAAGCACACGGGGGCCCTGTGGTGGCTGCATTATCCTCCTCTGGTACACTCAGTCAGCCCACTCAGTGAGCCCTGGGAGCTATGGACAGGGCTGCTTTGTTCCCTTGTCCCCTTTGGGGACTTAGGGGGTTGGGTAAAGGGAGAGGGGGAAGGGATGGTGCTGAGGTCTGATTCCTGCTCTGTGCACTCGGGGACCGAGGCCTGGACTCCGGGGAGGGGTGGGGCAGCAACGGCTCTGGATCCGCAGGGTCGGATTCCCTAGAGAGTAGGGTCGTCTGCTGTTGGTTAACTGAGCGCTCGTTTTATTCTTGAAACAGTGATGTTTTCTGATTACTCTTCAGTGGGGCAATGTATCACTTGAAAAGTATTAGAGAAAAGAAAACCAAAGAGTGAAGCCTGCTGTTGCTCAGCCTGTGGTGCGAGCTGGTTCTGCTTAGAACCTGGGCTTTTCTGAAAACATGTGGGGCCAGGAAGTGACATCACAGTCACCTGATTTGAACCCTGTTTTGTAACCTCTCTAGGACGTTTTCCTGCTGACATCGATATTCAGAGCTCAGAGAGGTTAAGTACTTTGTTTAAGCTCACACAGCTAGACAGAGGCAGGACTCAGATTCAGGTATGTGTCACTCGAATGACGTGGTCTTTCCACTGCAGCCCCCCTCTTCTGGGAGAGCTTGACGCTGGAGATTCGGCCTCCCAGCTGTGGAGAGCCCTCAGCAGGCAGAGACTGGGATCTCTGACCAGGTGTCTTCTGAGTGTTCACAGCCCCTCTGCTAAGTGGGGAGCCTGGCAGGCATCGCAGCAGGCACTGGGGGAGGCTTGGGAAAGCCTTCCCACTTCCCCTGCCAGCACACTCTTCCAGACTCCTTCAGAACGTGTACAACATGCTAACTGGGCGTCCTTACCCACCTCCTCAAAGCACCCCTTGCCTTTTGGTGTTGGAGGGACTGCCCGAGGCATCATATCTCAGTGGGTGAGTTCTGAGCTGAACCTGGGACTGTGGGCAGAGCGGTGCGTGTCCCTCGCCAAGCTCCCCGCCAGGGCCACTGCAGCTTTGGAAGCACCGGCTTGGAGACCCTGTGACTCACAAGCTGTTTCCTTACATGGCTGCCTCGGAGGCCACAGGTGGTTCCCATAGGCCAGGAGCGCCAGTGTTCAAGGGTGGCCCGCTGGAACAGCACCCCTGCCCCTGGGCTCTCCTTCCTCAGAGGCCTAGGTCGGCTCACCTCTTGCTCATGATGGAAAGGACAGGTGTGTAGCCACGTGGGGGAGGCGCTCCCGCCCAGCGCCCCTCTCACCTGGAGCGTGTGTGTCTTAGGGACTTGTAATTGCACAGAGAGATGTTCCCAAACAGATTCTGTTCAAGCTTGTAAGAGTCACTCAGGCTGAGTGTGGTTCTGGTTTTTGGAACCATTTATCTTTGCAGTCATGCTGTGAGTGTAAATTGGTTTCTAATAGAAACTCCTTTTAACCTTGACTAGGACAAAAATAGACCATGACCGAGGGCAGCCTTCTCTTGGCCTAAGTTCAGAGGCTGGGGGAGACCGCTCACCAGGGGGAGCTGGAGCCTCAGCTCGGCCACTGCAACCAGAGAGGGCCTCGGAGCCTGGCCTCCCGGGCCCTCAGCCTCCCGGGCCCTCAGCCTCCCGGGCCCGCACTGGCCGAGGTCGAGGGGTCGACTCCACTTTAGGCTCCAGTGGCAGAGCATGCTGGGAGTAAGGTCGGAGGTGCTTAGGAGAGCAGCTTGGCTGGCTGCCGGTGAGTGGGGACAGCGGCACTCTCCAGGAAAAGCAAACACAGGGCTTGCTAATGGCCCAGGAGGTTGCTAGGCATCCTCCCGGGTGCGGTCACCACGGACCGCAGCAACTCTTCTGCCTCCGTGGCCAGCCCGGAATGCTTTCTGTGTCTCTGGGCCTTGGCCATTAAGTGGGGCACTGGCTCTTGTTTGCCTAGTGATTTCTGTAATAGGTTTTGCTAAAGACATTTGTTTAGAGAGGACGAGGAGGGGTGGCACGGCTGGGTCTAGCATCCATGTGCCCGCCCAGGAGTCCTTAATGGCATCGACCTGCTGCTTCTGCTTTTAGGCCAGCAACCTGGATCAGATGGTTCCCCTCTTAAGCTCAGTAAACTCCACAGTCTGTTCCGGGTCTCCTTTCCAGCTGTTACACTGTTGCAGAGGCCTGGCCACTGCAGCAAGAGTCAGAGGGCCAGTGACACAGGGCACCGATTTAAAAACTGTCACGTAAACAAAATTGTACGTGGGTGTTCTTTTCTCTGCATAAAGAAACTGTGAAGACAACCAGATATGGGTACTGCCAGCTCACAGGGAGGGGAGAGTGGGGCAGAGATGATGGGGTGTGGGGTGTATTAAAATTTAGTTAAAAGACCAGCTGATGCTGAGTTGACACTAACACGTGGTGACCCCAGGGGTGTCAGAGCACAGCTGTGTCCGTGGGGTTCTCAGTGGCTGCTGGTCCAGAAGTAAATCTCCAGGCCTTTCTTCCAGGGCCCCTCTGGGTGGACTCGAACTCCCAGCCTTTCAGTCAGCAGCCTTGCATGCTAACCCTCCGCACCACCCAGGGTGCAATTTAATACCTGTGTATTTTTTTCACTGAACATGTTTTATATTGGAACTGTGTATTCACAGGAGCTCTGGTAGGGTGGTGCCTGAGACATTTGACTCCTAGCCAGAAGGTTGGCAGTTCAAACCCACCAGCCGCTTCCTAGAAGGAAGACGGGGCAATGTACTTCTGTAAAGATTTACTGCCTCAGAAACCCAGTGGGCCATGCTGTGAGTTGGAATGGACTCGATGGCAGTGGGTTCGGTTTGGTTTTTCATGGGAATGTCCGACTTACTAAGGAGCTCTGGTGGCGCAGTGCATAAGGCACTTGACTGCTAATCAGAGGGCTGGAGGTTCAAACCCACCAGCCACTCCTCGGAAGGAAGACGGGGCAATCTTCTTCCATAGTGATACCGCCTCGGAAACCCAAGGAGGGGGTGTTGTGAGTCGGATCTGACTCCATGGCAATGAGTTTTTTCTTTAATTTTTATTGTTTGGTTTTAAGAAGACTTCCCTCTTTTGATCATGTTCTTCTATAGAATCTTTGATGAAAATGTTCAGTAATGGTAGCCGGGCACCATCCAGTTCTTCCAGTCTCACGGCTAAGGAGGCCATTGTTCATGGAGGCAGTTAGCCACACATTCCATGTCCTCTACCTGTCCTCTCCCCTCTGTTGCTCCAGGGATACAGAGACCAGTTGTGCCTTGGATGGCCGTTCGCAAGCTTTCCAGGCCCTGGCAGAGGTCATGGAGGACCTGGCATGTCCAGAAGGGAGGGCCCTCTGGGTGGGCATGACAGGACAGTGACACAGGCTGTGTTTGTGCCCAGAGCAGCCGTCTGAGTGAGAGCCTGCTGTGGGTGTGCTGGGCGTGGGATGTCCCATTTTAGTATCTCACCGGACTTGCTGGGCTGCTGTCGCAGCTCCATTTCAAGGGGAGAGAGCGGAGGCAGAGAGGGGCTGATGACCTGCGGAGGGCCAGAGCCAGGCTGAGCTCAGGTGAGCCGACTCAGGCCTGTCTGCCTCCCGTGAACCAGCCTCCCTCACCTGTGTCGGGCCTTGTTTTGCAGGTAACGATGCCTGGGGAGCCTGTGGATGTGGCGTGTGGTGTGGATCACATGGTGACTCTGGCCAAGTCCTTCATCTGAATTGCCTCCCTCCCCTGCTGGACCCACCCTGGCCTCAGCACCATAGGAACTGCTTAGTGGAGGCCAAGACGTGACAGCCAGCCAGGGCGCTTGATGGGAGTCTGGGGTTCAGAAGTGACGTGTGGCTCTCCTGCAGCCCTTAGCGAGTCCATGTCAGCAGCCTCGGGCATGTCCCTGCTCCCCACTAAGGAATCTGGCACCGTGTGGTGGCTGATGGACCCTCAGGCCCAGGTGGGCTTCAGCACCCCTCCAGTCACAGCAGAGCCTGGTTTGTGTTGGGGAGGCTTTTTTTTTTAAATTTTGTTGTGATTTGGGTGAAAGTTTACAGAGCAAATTCATCTTCCCATACAGCAGTTCATATACGCTTTGTCTCATGACATTGACTGTAATCTCCCAAAGTACAGCAGCTCCCTTCCCACTTCCTTCTGATAGCCGCCTCTTCCCTGTGTCCTTCCCTCTGTGCACTCCGGCCCCCCAGGCTGTCTCCCTGTGCATACACAGCCCTTCTATTCTCTGATGAGTGATCTCTCCAAGGAGTGTATCTGCCTAGTGTAAATGTCCAGCTTATATGCATGTCTTTCGTTTGGCTGGAGGCCACAGGTGTAGATTAATTCAAGACCTGAAGGGCAGCTAGGGGCCATAGTCTCAGTGGTTCCACCAGGCTCTACCAGACCAGCAAACCTGGTCACTTTTTTTTTAATCCAAATTATTTTGAGTTTTGTTCCACATTGTTCTCCCACTCTATCCAGGATCTCCTACAGTGATCCCCTTTGGAGTGGTTGACAGTGGTGTCATGGTCCTATAGGCTGAGGATCGCTTAGTGTACCAGTTCTTGTACTAATTGTTTCCATGCATCTTTGGTTTTCTTCATTCTTCTTTGTTCTAGACAAGGAGAGACCCATCGTTGCATCAAGGTGGATGCTTGCAAGCTTTTAAGATCCCAGTCATTACTCACCAAAGTAGGGTGTGGAACAGTGTTTTTGTGTAGTATCTTATGCCAGCTGAGCTTGATGTCCCCTGTGACGGTGGTCCCGAGCCCACAGATCCAGCTACTTGCTCCCTCTGGGCGGCTGGCTGTGGCCGGAGGTGACCTTGTCCTAGTCAGCTCTACTATGAGGATGCTCTCTGAATGAGTCCAGCTTAGCTGAGGAGGCCAGGCCGAGGTTCCACCCACGCCCACCCTGCTCCCCGGCTGCTCCTGGCTAGCTGCCCCCCAGCGAGCCCCCCGAGGTACCTTGGACAAGCTTCGGCGGGGAGCTCTGAGCCTGCACCAGCCAGTACCCTGGGGGCCCGCGCCTCTCGCCAGCTCGCAGCCATGCTTCCTGTCGTCTTGGAAAAGTTGAGAAGTTCCGCAGGATGATTGAGGCCAGATTCTTGTGGGCTGAGGGCTTTGACCACATCCCTCAAAAGCTTGGCTGAAGCACCGAGCTTTGGAGCAGAAAGACTTAGAAATTGTGAAAAACATCTGACTTAATAATAGAACTTGTCTTTTTCTTGAGAAACATCTTTTAAAAATCTCTTCTGGAATAAAATTTTCAGTTTTTTTTTAAGAAATGGAAGTCTTTACTCAATCACTAAAAGATTAGCTTTTTAAAAAAGCTTTTGATACAGAGGCAAATGGAAGTTGTGACAGTAATGCTTTAGAGGACAGTCATGCTTCGAAGTAGCTCCTGAATGGATTCTGTCGCAGTTCAGTGGAAGGAAAACGTGTGAGATGGGGTGATACAGAGCATTCACGTGCTTGTTTGCTCACCAAAGGACTGGGGTCCACCCAGTGCACCTCAGAACGAAGGCCTGGTGATCAGCTGAAAACTCAGCGGGGAAACCCTGTGGAGCCCAGCGCTGCTCTTGACCCCAAGGGTCGCCACCAGTCAGAAGCAGCTCCATGGCAAGGGGCAACAGCCCAGTAAAGAGTTGGCGCTCACGCCATGAGCCGGGATCTTGCATGCTGCCGCTCAGCCTTTTCCTCGTCTTGGTAAATGTCCAGTGTGTGTCCCTTGGGTGCCAGGCCACGTGGTGGCAGACATTCCTGCCCCAGGAAGCTTCTATTCTAGATGAGCCAGAAAGTGAAATACAGAGTGTGGGAGGCATGTGTCTGTGGAGGGGAAGGGGCAGGAGGTGTCGGGAGGCTGCGGTGTGGAGCAGATTTGACACGGAGCCCAGGCTGTTAGCGGAGGTGGTGACAGTCGCCCAGGTGGGGGCGGGGGGCCTTCACCTGGGCAAATCTCTCTACACTTCTCGGGGGCTGGGTGGGCGAGGCCTTAGGTGACTGCACCAAAGGTGTTCCGTAAATATCGACTATAATAAACTGAAAATGAGTTTTCCTTTTTCTTCACAAGATGACTGTGCCGAGAATAAAGCCAATAGTCATCCACCCCAGGGAGGTGGCACCTTAAAGCACGCATTTACTGACAGCGCAAGTGTCGCAGGGTCAGGCTGGGGTCAGACTAAAAGCACTCAGGTGCTGGGAGGTGATGGAGGGTCTTCATAGGCTTGTTAGCTGCCATCGGGTTGGGCCTCGACTTAGGGCCACCCCGTGCACGACAGAACAAACGCTGCCTGGTCCTGCGTCAGCCCCCTGATAGCTACAGAAGTTGGGACCGTTTTTAAATCTCCCACCCGCTTGTCACCAACATAGCAATCACTGGCCAGACCAGTCACTACCTGTGAGAAGCCATACACTAAACCCCTTTCTCGTGGCTGGGCGGGGCCTGGCGGCTGGGCGGGGCTCTTCAATGTCATGAAACAAAATGTGTATTGGTATTTGAAGCCAGATTTACATGTCTCTCACACCCACATTCTCCCCAGTGCCAGACTAGTATTTCCCTGGGAAAGGGGGCAAGGGGCACTGAGCCTGTGGACTGACTTAGGGGTCCACCCCAAGACAGAATGCTGCTACTAGGTCCTAGGAACCCTGGGACAGGGTGGAAGCTTAGGGAGATTCCCGGCCTCCCCGAGAGCAGCCACTGCAGTTGCTCTCCCAGTTTGAAGGCATGCCTTCTGCAGGCAGTGTGGTGTCTGCTGACAGAGTGCCTGAAGGTGGCCAGCCCCTTCTGACGGCCTCGGGGACTGCACCCAGCCCCTGGCGTGGCACAGAGACAGCAGCTTCTGCAGGGCATGCGTGGTGTCCTCAAGGCCTCCCTGAGAACCCCTCGCCCACCTCTCTCTCCCCCAGGCTGCACCCCCTAGATGCCCTCAGACACACAAGCTACCCCCTTGGGAACTTTCAAAGCTCACACGCAAACCTTGATATTTGACATGGGGACAGTCACGGCCCAGGTTATGCTTGAGTGGGAGACAATGTCTGAAGCCCCTCCACCTGCACTTTTCTCCAATCTGGGGCCACACTGAGCTGCATGCTCAGAAGTCCAGTGTGAAGGGATAAACGCAGATCCTGTGGTCACCTTCTCAAACCAGGAGCCAGCTGTCTTGCTAGGGAGGCAAACAGGTGAATTGAGGGGGTGGGGGGCTGCCTATGGTGAGGACGTTGCTCCTGCTCTGGAAGGGCACGGGCAGTTAACATGCTGGGAGACCAGAGAGCCGAGGCCACGCAGCCATGGCCCACCGAGAACTGTCCTGTTTGGAGTGCACCGGTGTGCTAACGCTGAATGGGCATGGGCTAGTGGCTCATGCTGGCCCCACAGCTGCCAGTCAGCCCTTGTTCCAATGGGACAATACTGAAGAGGAAGGAAGCACTCCTGGCACTGCTGTGCCAGGACCTGGCAGTGCCAAGGCTGCTTGATTCAAAGCCTCTAGCTCTGGGGCCTGGCCTGCTGCTTCACTTAGTCTAGTCTCAGGATGGACGAAAGACAGGATGAGGCAATTTGCTCTGCAGAACTGCCAAAGGAGTTGGTTCCTAATAGGCCTTTGGGCCTCTTTTTGGCAGATTCTGCCTCCTAACCATGGCTGCACCAAGGAGGGGAGGGGCTTTTAAAACCAAAGTCAGTTGAGTCTGACTCATGCAGAGTCCTGGCCCAGGTAGCAGGGTTGGGAGCCCTGCCAAGTAAGAGCCAAAGCTGTATCCCAGGAGGAATTCTAGCCTAACTGGAGAGGGAGTGGGAGGGGAACAGGGCTCTAGGGCCCCCTCTCTCCTCCCCACACCTCAGCTTTCCACTGGGAAGTCAAAAGGAGGTCCATCCAGGACACTGACCCCTGGCCATCCCATTTTGTTTTTCTGTCATCCATTACAGTAACTCACAAGCCACCATTCAGATGCTAAGAAAGCCTCTGGCTGAGGGGACAAGGCCCTTCATGTGAATACCCACCTTGAATCTCCGTCCATCTCCTCCCTCCCCCACCCCACTTCTCCATTTCAGCCTCTTCCCGCTCAGCCTTCTGAGCCCAGGCTGTCCCATCTGCTTGTGCTCAACCCTAACTACTGTCATCCCCACCTCACAGCACCAGCACCCCCTTGTGGTCTGTTCTAGCACTGCACTCCTTGTCAAGCCACAGGCTGATTCCTCTGGGTCCCCATGCCCGGCCCAGGGCCTGGCACCATCTGGATGACAGTGAATGTGAGCGAGTGGTGTGGAAAGGAGGTCAGGGGCTGGAAGGCTTTGCAACTCTTTTGAGTTTTGGGGCACTCAAGGTGCCCCATGGTTGCTGGCTCCAGTGGGCTTAGGGACTGAGAGGGCCTCAGTTTGCAGAGTCTAGGATGAAAAATTATCACAGCAGCTGGCATGTTCTTGGGCTCAAGGTGATGGTGAGTACTCCAGCTCTATCTTTGTTCCCTTCCAGCTCCAGGGCTCATCTCCTGTGGGGGCAGGGCTGAGGAAGGGTGGGGATGGAACCTGGCCAAGTATGCAGGCCCAGGTCTTCAGACCTGCCTTACTTATACCCACTAGCCAAGGAAAACGTCCAAAGAGCAGCATGCTGCATGTCAGAGGCCCAGAACTGGCTGGCCTTGAGCCCATCTGCCAAGAGCACCTGAGGGAAGGATGCTATATGCATGATGCACCCTTCTTCCCCCAGGATATCTCACCCAGGGTTCTAGCACCCAG